ACTTAAAATAATACATGAATATGTTAATATAAACATTCATTTCCTTATCTGGAATTATTATTCAAATTATCTAAGAATTCTATTTTACTGCGGGTGGAGATTGCTTTATGGAGTATCAGTAACAAGCAACAAAGAAAATGGGTTAGGTAAATGAGAATCCTGAATACATTACTGAATTTCCTGCTGTATGAGCACTCTTGTTTTGGACGGGCAGGAAGCAGCATTATCAAAGGTCCTTCTGATAATTCCACTGCCATTCTTATAGCTGTAGATGATTAAAGGAAAATATTAAAAAGAGAGCAGTCAATGACTCATAGTATAGTAGAAGCCCCTTAAAATACTTTTGTCTCTCTAGTACAAGTAGTTGACAATGGGGGTCTTAAAAACATGATTCAACCAATTCTTAGGATTTCTATAAATATTTCTAAGAAAATAACCTTTTGATGACATTCTTCAAATTAAAAACAGGGTGCATGAAAAGCAAAGCAAAACCATGCTCATTAGGAATAAGTTTCTCCACTCACTATGAGTTCAGGTATCAGAAATAATAGAATTTATTTCTTGCTTTCATTAACACAGCTACTCTGCTTAATTATTCTTGCTTAGTTATTCCAGTAACTATGGCAGTGTCTTAGCCCATATCTGAGCATGTAGGATAAATTAGGAACTCAGTAATTGTTATATGAGTGAAGGAATGAACAAACCATAAATCCCTGGGAAGAAAGGCAATAGATCTACTGTTTTTCTTCACATAGGTTTTGTTTCAGGGCAATAATTATATGACCTGAGGTCCTCACTTTGACAATGTGACATTTTAATCTAGAGAGATAAAGTTTAGCAGGTATATGGCTCTAATTTGTTCAATCTATTTACCTTTATTACCTAGGAGAACTTACTTGATTTAATCACTGAGTGTAAGACCCCAATTAATAATCATTTTCAGAGTAACAATATTTTTAACTGCAAGAAACTAAAAGAATTTATGTTAATTTTGGAGATTATAAGGCTAACAAGGGAAAATAACTCCATGCCCCACTTCATATATCGTAGGAGTTAGCAATCTAGCCACTGTCTTTCTTAAGAATAAATTAATTACAAATATTCAGGGAGTATATATTGAGTCTGAGGCTGAGCCAGATGGACCCTGTTAGGAAATATTAAAAAGTATAAGATGTAGACATCTAAATAGTTGGAGATTACAATGTAGCCAGCTTATTTTTTAAAAAATCATTTCAAGATTGAGATGGCAATGAGACATAAGAATGAAACTTCCAAGAAAGCAACTTTATAAATGTTCCCACCTGGAACATGGCTATGATGGCTAGAAATACAGCAGTCATTCTGAGACCATAAGGAGATCTTGAATACACTGATATGATCAAATGCATAAGTTTAAGAGGGAAAAAAACACATCTGGAGATCATATGGATAAAGGGCTACAGTGAAGAAGACCTTTGGGTTACATTATTTTCTCTGTATATGAAAACTAGTGAAGCCTGATAACAATGCGTTATAGAATCAACAAAATAATTAAGATTAGAATGAATCTTAGAGAAGCAATGTAAGCTGCCACCTTCTGTTATACTGAGGACACCAAGAAACCTTCCTCTTTCCACATATTCCCCCACTAGAGGATCTCCCACACTAAAGCTTGAAATTCTTTTAGTAGAAGTTAGGGCCTTTTGTTCATTTCACAAATAGAGATAAAAACTAAAAGTAAATGCCCCAAGGAATTAATGCACCAAGTTAAAATCATGTCAGCTTGTAAAATACAGGTATCATATTCATGCCTGAGATCCAGTTTTGATGGGCACTGTGAGAGGAAAGCAGAAGGGTACTTAGTACCTATAACAAAAAGTAATTATAGTGTGCAGATGCAGAAAAGGAAGCTTAAGAACACTAAAAACAAACTATTATTTCAACATTTTGTCGTTGGGGTGGTTCTAGATGAGGAAATGCAGAGAGAAAACATTTTGTTAGTAAATACTAGTCAATCCAATCTAATGATTACTTCTTGCTAACCTATAATATTCATTAAAAAACCACAGATACAAAAAAAAAAGAACCGTAGATGCTGAGAAGTATCAGAAAGTTAATCTCATAGCAAATTTTGGCATAAACTACCTCCTGAGTAACTATATGAATAGAGAGAAATGAGATAATATAAAACAATAAAAATGTTTTTTATAGTACTATAGTATAATATAGCACTATACTTTCACTTATGTGTTGTAGATGAAATTTCCTGCAAATCTGAGTACAGTTATTACCTCATAAAAAGAAACAGGCTTATTTATTTATTTGGGAAATTAGTTTTTGGTGTAGAGGAGAAGGGGCGGGCAATGCAAGGAAGTTAGTGAATATCCAAGGGAGTGGTGGAAAATTGATGACAGTTTCACATTACAGACTCTTTAACTTAGTTACTTTGACTTCTCTTGGACAGCAGAACCAAAAGCATGATAGACAAAAGGTAGGAATCTAATTAATAGAAGGTCAGAAGACAAAAGACCAATTTAGATAATCTACAAAGCAGATAATCAATTTAGACAATTTTCATTTTAGTCTGCTGACAAAATTATATAGTACAAAATCATAAAATGTTAGATTTGTTAATTATATCTTTGTTCATTTTATACTTAAAATAATAACTACACTAAAATATTTATCAGAATAAATCTAATGTGGTATCCAAGATTATATTCTGGAACAGAAAAAGGTTGTAGTTGAAAAAGTAATGAGATCAAATAAACTCTGTAGTTTATAGTATTGTACCAACAAATTCCCTAGTTTTGACAAATAGTTGTATGTTAACATTAGGGCAAGCTGGGAACTCTTTGGGCTATCTTTGTAACTTCTCTGTAAATTTAAATTTCTTCAAAAATAAAATGTTTATTACAATTTTTGTATTAGAATAACTCTAGTTTATATTAAACTTTTTTTTTAAGATTTTATTTATTTGTGAGAGAGAATGAGAGAGAGAGAGAGCACATGAGAGGGGGGAGGGTCAGAGGGAGAAGCAGACTCCCCGCCGAGCAGGGAGCCCGATGTGGGACTCGATCCAGGGACTCCAGGATCATGACCTGAGCCGAAGGCAGTCGCTTAACCGACTGAGCCACCCAGGCGCCCCTATATTAAACATTTTTTGAAATCAAATTGTGAGGTATGCCAGTGGCTCATTTGGGACTACCATGCCTATTATGCAAAATTCTCTAGTGCCACTGAGTTTAATGGTTTGCCTATAATCTCCAGAGCAACCATGGGGACGAGAGTGGTGTTTTCTCAGTGGCAGAGATAGTGATATTTCTATCCAACTATGATCTCTGCATCAGGTCTGGATAATACCTTAGGTCATTTCACTTCGTGTTCATTTTAGCTGCACATGTTAAAGGTGACAGTTTCCAGTTTCCTGTTTCTTTTACTATCTGATAACCAGAGCTATAATACATATCTCAGGCTCCGGGCGCCTGGGTGGCTCAGTCGTTAAGCGTCTGCCTTCGGCTCAGGTCATGATCCCAGGGTCCTGGGATCGAGCCCCGCATCGGGCTCCCTGCTCAGCGGGAAGCCTGCTTCTCCCTCTCCCACTCCCCCTGCTTGTGTTCCCTCTCTTGCTGTCTCTCTCTGTCAAATAAATAAATAAAATCTTTTAAAAAATAAATAAATAAATAAATAAATAAATAAATAAATAAATAAATAAAATAAATATCTCAGGCTCCGACTGTGTTTTGTTCAAGGAAAATATACTTTATCCTTTGTTTATAGTACATAATGTTCTTCTGTATTTTAGGATGTTTTAGTATCATTTTCTCATTTATTTTTCATTTGCTGTTATCATTTTCCCATGTATGTATTATGGGAAAGAAAATAATTTTGACCTGTGTTCACTAATAAGAAAAAAAACTTAGAAAATAAATAAGTAGATTGGGCTTAACACTATGACAGAAGAGAAAGACCTAGTAAAGATAGTAATCTAAATGGCAGCAAATATTAGCAAGATTAAACTAAGCATCTACATACTCACAGCCTAACGTCCTGACTAATCACAGGTTAAACGACAACCACAACTCTATTGACTGGTGGGGGAGTGAGGTTCAGTAGCAACAAAGGAATCAAGACAGAAAGGGATATTTTTCACATTTTGTATTTCCAAATAATCACTTTCATAAAAGAGGGGTAAAAATACGAATAGAATTCTAGAAATGAAGTCTGAGTGGTTAAGAAAGATTCCAGTAAGACTGGCAGTGTGGTGCGGGTCCGCCTAACTTGGCTGTGGACTTTTTTTTTTAATTGCACGAGGCCTTGAGGGGAAAGGAGGTGGGCGGAGCTGACTTCAGGGCGGCCCCTCTGCTGCAGGTCCTGCTCAGGCTGAGGAGAAGTTATGCTTTTTAATTCTCACAAAGGCGCGCTTTAAATGTGAGGTGGAGAAAGAGCCTTGCTTGTCTACCCACCTCCAAGAAGCTAAAGTCTCACTGTTTAAGACAAATTTCCTTCCCCCCTAAACACAATGAAATTGTTACAGCCCTAGGTCCTGACATTTGTGTCCCCAGTTTTAGATGCATTGTCTCCGAGCATTTACTAAAGATTACTCGTCAATGAACGAACAGCTTTTCGGGTTCTTTTTTCGCAATTGAATTTGTGACTTCTACGCGTTTGGCTTTATTGTCTGTTGGCGGTTTTTTTTTTTTGTTTGGTTTGGTTTTTTCCACTCCGCTGCCCGGAGTGAAGACTGTGGTACCTTTGGTCACCTCGATTAGCATAAAAATTCGCGCAAGGCAGTTCAGTGTCCAGTGCCATCCCATACAAAATGTTAATTCCTCAGGTATCCACTCTGCACCTGATTATCCCGTGCCTCAGCGCGCCTCAACATTTTCTCGGTGTTTTTCGCTGCTTTATCCCTACACAGGTTAGTTCTCCCACCTACCAGTAAGGCACACCGCTCAGCGCCTGCGCGTGTCCGCGGGAGTTCGCCATACAGCGCATGCGCCGTCCCTGCAGCTGCGTGCGATGGAAAAAAAAGTGCCGACCGCCGGTGGTGACGTAAAAATTCCGCGCGTTACCTCGATGCGCACACCTTCCGCGGGAGTGAGCCCTGGCAAATCGCAGTGATGGTGCGTTGCAGTTGCGTGTGGTTCAGAAAGGTCCGTGACTGGTGTTTCTCATCCTGTTCCCCAGAGCTTGGTGCCTGTAGCCCCACTTGAGAACTCTGGTTCTCCTTTCCTTCCTCCTTCCCTCCCCTTTTTCTTTCTGGGGGCCTCTTTCCTGCTTGGTTCTCCTATAGTTGTCTCAGCTTTTCCGGGAGTCAGGCTTGGCCCGTGAGGGGTGAGAAGAGTATATCTACCTGGCACGGTTTAGGACGGTTGTTTGGGGGCATAGGGTTTTCGGTTCTTCAGGGGAGTTGTGTGCATGTGGGATGGGGAGATGGGGAAACCTGCTTGCCTTTTAGACTTGCAATATGGTATACATAGCGTGTAGGTTGACGTTTTCTTTTGGCTCAAATAGTCTGTTTTTCTTCTTTTAGGTAATAATACCCATAGCCTGTTCCTATATATGTTTTCCTGGAGTGCACTCTTTTTAAGAGCTTTCTAAAAACTACTTTTCATCAGGAAACGAAAATAATGTAATTGGCTTGCCTTCTTGCAAGAAATTTAGGTCAGTTTTTATGCAGTGCTCATTTTAGACATCGTTTCTGTAAAAATTTACAGTTGCTTCAAAATTAAAGAAAAAATCTTAAAGAGTCTTACTAGTAATGTTTTGAAGCTTGCTGGCATCATTAAAAATGACAAGAGTCAGGGCGCCTGCGTGGCTCATTTGGTTAAGCGACTGCCTTCGGCTCGGGTCATGATCCTGGAGTCCCGGGATCGAGTCCCGCATCGGGCTCCCTGCTCGGCGGGGAGTCTGCTTCTCCCTCTGACCCTCACCCCTCTCATGTGCTCTCTCTCATTCTCTCTCAAATAAATAAATAAAATCTTAAAAAAAAAAAAAAAAGACTGGCTCTTTTGAGGGGCGCCTGGGTGGCTCAGTTGGTTAAGCGACTGCCTTCGGCTCGGGTCATGATCCTGGAGTCCCGGGATCGAGTCCCGCATCGGGCTCCCTGCTCAGCAGGGGGTCTGCTTCTCCCTCTGCCCTCTTCCCTCTCGTGCTCTCTGTCTCTCATTCTCTCTCTCAAATAAATAAATAAAATCTTTAAAAAAAAAAATGACAAGAGTCAGAGACTCATTTTAAGTTTGGTTTCTAAACCTCTGAATATGATGAATCTAGAGTAGTAAGAAATGTGTCACACAGTGAACGAACTTTAAAAACAGAAACTTTCTTTTACTGGAGAGAGAGGCATGGTTAGTAATATTTCTGAATTAAATTATACTTTTTTTTTTTTGAGTTTGGGAATTTTTGGTTTTTTCAGTAAGCTCTACACCCAATGTGCAGCTTGAGCTCAGGACCCTGAGATCAGGAGTTGCAGGCTCTACTGACTGAGCCAGCCAGGCATCCCAAATTAAATCATACTTCATCCAGTCCTCAATTTTCCAGAAAATAGGTAGTCAGTAGAAAAGAGACTTGTGAAAGGTTGTATTTGGGTATATGAGGTAACTAATTCTTCAGCTAAAAAGAAATTGCTTCTTCTTTTTTTGTGTGTGTGTGTTTCAGTTCTGAAAGGCTGCTTGTGTAGCCTTACTGCCATGAACAGTCACCTCCACTAAATGTTGTTTACAAGGGGAATCTATTCACTTATATGTGACGCATTTCTGATCTAGCCTGGCAGAATCAAATTATAAGTTCTTCACCTCCAAGAAAAATACTCTGGCTAGCCCTCAAGTTCATCTTTTATGTATTCCTTCCACCCTGTTCCCTTACAACATTCTGTGTCATGGGTGTATTTGCATACTCAAAACCTGAACTTTGAATCTTTTTTGTGCTCCCATCCATTGCAATCTGAGCTCTAGACTGCATCAGGATCACCAAGGAAGCTTTTGCTAAATGTCCTGGTTAGAACTATCCTTATCCCCTTCTCCAGAGTATAGTGGAATGGTCAGTGGACTATACATATTTTGGAAAAAGCTCCCAGATGTTTTTGATACTTAACCTATGCTAAGTGACTAAAGACCATGAATTTAAGAAATTACTCTGTAAGGAATTTTGATAGTTTGAGAGGCTAGTACATAGGATCTTTACCTGCAGAAGTTTAGTGAGGAAAACAAGTAAATACTAAATGCAGTGTAAGATTTCAAAATGCATAATAATAAAGATATGATCTAATTGCTGAGAGAGCCCAGCAAAGTCAGTGCTAAGTGTTGACTAGAGGAATAAAGAAAGACATCAGAAAATGTGAGATTTGGGTGGGCTTATGATAGAAAAGAACAAATGACAGTGGAGGAAAAGTATGAGCAGAGTGGCATGGAAATGTGATAGTAGATTATGTAGTACAGAGCAAAGAGAGGAAGGAGAGGTAGAGGTTGGACAAGTGAAAATGAAACTGGAAGAGTAAGTTAATTTTTTTTAAGGTTTTTTAAAAATTTTATTTATTTGACAGAGAGGGAGACAGCTAGAGAGGGAACACAAGCAGGGGGAGTGGGAGAGGGAGAAGCAGGCTTCCCGCCGAGCAGGGAGCCCAATGCGGGGCTCAATCCCAGGACCCTGAGATCTTGACCTGAGCCAAAGACAGATGCTTAACAACTGAGCCACCCAGGCGCCCCAGTTAAGAACTTTTACTGCTGAGAATTTTAGACTTTATTTTATAAACAGCCATAACAAAAAAACATGAATGGTTTTTGAGTAGGGAGAAATATAAGTAGAGATCAGATTTGTTTTCAGAAAAATATCTCAGGCAGCAGGACAAAGGCTGAGTCAAAGGAATGATTAGACATTGCAAGAGCATTTTAGGAGCCAATGTAATGGTCAAAATACTAAGGCACTTGTACCAGAAAGGAGAAATAGGTAATAGAGCTTTGAGAAAAGAAGCAGGTATAGTCAGAGATTCCCCAATGTAGACTCAATGACTAGATAAACTGCGGTTCCATTATTTGAGAGAATATTGGGGGAACAGAATTTACCTGAGGAAAAGTTTGATTTTGCCATGTTATTATGTATCTAAGGTGACTATTATCCTTTCAACTAGTATCTAAGAAAAAGTTGCATATTTGAGAGGTTTCAAATATAAATTAAATGCAGATCTTGCTCTTGGTTGCTTTAGACTATTAAGCTTACCTCCTGATGGAGATGTCCAACAGACTAGACATAGATAATATCTTACCTAGGTGATAGTTAACTGGTATAGTCTGATATCATCTGGAAGAGAAAGTCTTGATTGAAAAGTAGGACAGGGGCATCTGGGTGGCTCAGTTGGTTAAGTGTCCAACTCTTGATTTCACCTCAGCTCACGATCTCAGGGTCATGAGATCAAGCCCTGCATTGGGCTCCCCGCTGAGCGTGGAGTCTGCTTGAGATTCTCTCTCTCCCTCTCCCTCTGCCCCTCCCCTGTGCTTGCACGCACATGCACTCTCTAAATAAAGTAAGTAAATAAATAAAATCTTAAAAAAAAAAAGTGGGACGGGGTCAGAAACCTTGAGACAGAAAGTGGGACAACAATTGACAATTGAAAAAGATCTTTTTTTTTTTTTAAGATTTTATTTATTTGACAGAGACACAGTGAGAGAGGGAGCACAAGCAGGGGGAGTGGGAGAGGGAGAAGCAGGCTTCCCGCTGAGCAGGGAGTCCGATGCGAGGCTCGATCCCAGGACTCTGAAATCATGACCTGAGCCGAAGGCAGACGCTTAACGACTGAGCCACCCAGGCGCCCCGAAAAAAAGATCTTAAGAGAGTTAATCAAATGGGAAAGGGAGGTCAGACCAGAGGTGAACTAAGAAAAGACTATGGATTTGACATTCAGAAAGCCTATATTGATTTTTTTCGGAGCTTTAGTGGTAACAGAGGATTAGGTGTTCTAACTTGGTAAGCATGTTTGGTATACAAATGATCTCTTTCTCTTTTTTAAGTATGGAAACTTCATTGATAACCTAAGACTCTTCACCAGAGGAGGAAGTGGTGGAATGGGTTACCCTCGCTTAGGTGGAGAAGGTGGAAAAGGTGGTGACGTCTGGGTTGTAGCCCATAACAAAATGACTTTGAAACAACTTAAAGACAAATATCCTCAGAAACGGTTTGTGGCTGGAGAAGGAGCAAATAGTCGGTAAGTATTTACTGAATGACTTTGATTTTAGAAAATTAATCCCTCCCAGAGGAAAAAAAAAGTTAGAAGATCAAAATTGAACTGGTAATTTGAAGGAAAGTATAGTCTATATTTGTAAATGAGCAAAAGTCTACAATAATTGTCTCGACTCTAGTAAAGATAAAAGGTAGATACTAAGGAATGTTTTGGAGTTTTAAAACATTTTTATCCTTTTCTTCTCTCAGTGTCTGTTTATATTCTTTTGCACTTCAGAAAAATGGTCTGAATCTCCACTGTTTTCTTCTAAAATTAAATTTTTAGCAATCTTTAGGAAACCTTTTTCAAATCTCAGCTGTTCTACCCACCCTACCATCACCGATAGTTCTACCAGGATCTTAAGATTCAGAGCCTGTTTCACTCATAAGTCCCTTGTGTATTTTCCTTTGGCTTGTTTGGTCTTCTCTCTGTGACATCAAAACCTTCCGTTTATTTTTTGTAAATTTTTGTTATTTTTTATGGAACATATTATGCCGCCCTCAAAATAGGAAAAGAACTTTTTCTTTCGTTACAAAGATATTGAAGAAAAATCTTACTCAGTTATCTATTTTGGAAGTGGTGCTTGAACCAAGTCTTGAAAGGGGAATAGAACTTTGCCAGATAATCAAGGCAGGAAAAGGTGTGTTGGCAAGTGTACAACATTTATAAAGGCAGTGCATTAGGAGGGAACAAACTGTTTGGTGAAATAATACTTATTTCTAGCATAACTGTGGTACAAATGGGGTGGCTCATTTTAAAATAAAGACATTATAGTCCAGATCATGAAGAGCCTGATATGCTGTGTTACAGAGTTTGAAGATTATCTTAGAGTGATGGGGAGTCATTGAAGGATTTTAAATAGGCAAGTGACATTAATAAATTAATGTCTTAGAAAAATCACCCTAGGGTTAATTGGTTAATGAATTAGAGGTGTTGATTGAGACTAGAGACAAGAGATCAATTTGGAGAATACTGCAATATTTCAGAAATGATGAAGTTCACAGTGTCTGGCCTATACCCATCATTCTAGTTTCATCTCCCTCTATGTTCTGTGTGTTCTGCATTCCAGCCATGTTGGCTTTCTTTTAGTATCTTATACTGGTATTTGTCTTCTATCACTGGGCTTTTGTTTGTGTTATCTTTTCTGTAATGCTTTTTCCTCCCCTTCATCCAGCTGCCTCCTATGACTCCTTTGGATTTAAGCTCAAGTTTTTCCTGATCTCCTTGTTTAGGTCAGGATTCCAATATGAACTCACATGTCTAAGTTCTAATTCATAAGACTTGTCAGTTATAATTTTCCATTTTCTCATGTATTTGATCAATGTCTGCTCTCTTGCCAGACTACCATTGAGGTCCATGAGGACAGGGAACATAACAGTTTAGATCATCATTTCTTCCCAGATATCTAGTACAGTGATTGGTACATAGTAGATACTCAGTTAACATTAGTTCAGTGATGAATTAGATTGACAGAAATGGGTGGATTGGAACTATATTAAAGAAGTAAAATAAATAAGACTTCGTGATTGATGGAGTATTGAAAGAGAATGATAAATCAAGGATGACTTCCTGGTTTTGACTTGAGGAGTGGGTAGATGATAGTATCATTCTTTGAGAAGGACTGCAGTAGAAAGTGGCATCTGAGATGTAGAAAAAGGGAGTTGTGAAAGGCCCTTGGAGATGTCAGTAAGCACTTGAAATACAGGTCTGTGATTCAGGAATATGGTCAGGTCTAGAGATAAATTTATTGATCATAAGCATGGACTTGAGTAAGTGCATTACAGAAGAGAAAAGGATCGAGGATCAAATTCTGTTATTCACCAACATTTAAGGAAAAGAAACAGAAGGTGTGATCTAAAATAGAGAGTCAGGAGAGACTTAATGTCATGGGAGCTAGGGAAGAATTTAAAGGAGGAGGTAACAGTCTTATTTATCTTGTGGAGTTCAGGTTGATTAAGCCAAGAAGTTGAATAAACTTACTGAATGCCAGAATTTGAATGAACTATTTTATAGTTTTATGAATTATGCCATCTTATGTCTCTATTTGGGTCCTACAAGAAGCAGGTACCAAAGTAGGATTTGATGAATAAGAGATTTATGGGGAAAACATCTATAAAGGCAAATTGGGGAGGGACCTGAAGGAAGTTGGGAAAGTTATCGGACCACTGTGCAAGTCTAAGCCTTATGAAGGAGAGAGGGAAGGGCAAAGTTTTAGTCCATTGTACAGTTCTGAGAAAGTTTAGGCAAAGCTGATGGTGACTCCTTAAGCAGAAGTTGCCAATCAGAGGAATCCTTGTCTCCTACAAAGGGGCTGCCTTAGTAACCCTGCCGTTCCAGGTAATTGGCTGGAAGTAGACTGTGGGAAGCATCATCTCTTTAAGATTTCAGAGCATACCAGCTGGGGCCATAGGTCTTTGATGTTCCCTGCAGTCACATCTAAGATGCATTTTTATGGCCCGCTATGGCATGCAATGTTCAATGTTATTTTTATAATCAATTGTTCAATGTTGTTTTTTATCAATATTCAGAAATCTACAAGAGTTTTGCAAGTTACCTTATATGACGTTTTGTTTCTGGCAATAGGACCAAAGGATGAGATTCTTGGATGATGAAATTGAGCTATCATTTATTTTCATTTTGCAGTGGTAACAGAGTGTCTATTTTGTTCAATTCAGCACACACTTTTTGAGGGTCAAGTGTAAACAAGATACCAAAACAATATATTACATGTAGTAGACTCAAAGATGAACTCATACAATGGGGTATGGTATATCATGCTGTGATTTTAAGGTATTGCTATGTAAATTGCAGTGCAAAAGCATTGTATAAGTTAGTTAAAATCATAAATGATTGATTTGAAAGTTGGTATTTTAACTTTTTGAAATATGTATTTGGAGTTTAATATTTAATACAAGGGAGTTTTTTTATATACTGGTATCTACACATTGCCTCATTTATCTCCCCTTTTACCTCAAGAATGTGCTTTCCAACCAGGCTGTGTCCTTACTCCAAACAACCGAGCTTTCTCAGTACAGTCTCACCCCTCGCACCTACTCCCACCTCTCCTCATTTTCTGTTTTTCAAACGAAGCTCACTTCCTTCCATCTACAGAGATTGTTCCCTATTGAGTATAAATCTCAACTCCCTTCTCTTCTTTTCCTTGAAAGATTTGTTTATGTGCTTTAGTTTTTGGGATATGAAGAAGTTAATCATGGGAAAAAGAGCTCAACTATTAGACTCCCTTTTAAGTACTCTCAAGTAGTGTTTTTAGACTGTGTCTTTCAATTCTTTAATATGGTAGTTTCAAACCATTTTTAGTGCCACCCATACTGAGAAACATTTTATACTTTTACCCAAACATTTGTATTATCTCTGTTTTCTGTTCTGTGGCATATTGTACATTGTTGTTTTCCTTTATTTTGGGAAAATATACATAACATGAAATTTACCATTTTAATGTGTACAGTTCTGTGGCATTGTACTACATTCATATTGCTGTACAGCAATCACCTATCTCGTTTTAAGTGCTGACTATAATTGCATTTTGAAAAACATTGCCTTAGGGTTGTAAAATCAATTTATTAGATTTCATATAAAAAGTAGAATAGGAAACATTAGTACGTATCACATAGTAAGTACGGTTTCACAAAACTTTAAAGTCATATATATATATATATATGATTTGTGTGTGTACATGTATATGTATGTATATATGTATATATACATATATATGAATGACTGTATCATTTCTTACTGAGTTGCAGTTGAAAATTGAAAACTCCTGCTCTGAAGAAGCCATGCCTTCAACATGTAAATACCTTTAAAGTGTTTAAGATCTGTATAAAAGTGTCTGTTTCTTTTTTTTTTTTTTTTTTAAGATTTTATTTATTTATTTGACAGAGAGAGACACAGCGAGAGAGGGAATACAAGCAGGGGGAGCTGGAGAGGGAGAAGCAGGCTTCCCGCCGAGCAGGGAGCCTGATGCGGGGCTCGATCCCAGGACCCTGGGATCACGACCTGAGCCGAAGGCAGACGCTTAATGACTGAGCCACCCAGGTGCCCCTAAAAGTGTCTGTTTCTTCAACTATAAAGTAGGGATAATAATAGTACCTATTTCTCTTTGAAAAAATTAATAAAATTGACAAACCCCTAGCCAGACTTAAGAAAAAGAAAAGAGAAAGGACCCAAATAAATAAAATCACAAATGAGAGAGGAGAAATAACAACCAACACCACAGAAATACAAATAATTCTAAGAGAATATTATGAAAAACTATATGCCAACAAATTGGACAACCTGGAAGAAATGGATAAATTCGTAGAAACATAAACTATCAAAACTGAAACAGGAAGAAACAGAAACTTTGAATAGATTGATAACCAGCAGAGAAATTGAATCAGTAATGAAAAAACTTCCAACTGGGCGCCTGGGTGGCTCAGTTGGTTAAGCGACTGCCTTCGGCTCAGGTCATGATCCTTGAGTCCCGGGATCGAGTCCCGCATCGGGCTCCCTGCTCGGCGGGGAGTCTGCTTCTCCCTCCGACCCTCCCCCCTCTCATGTGCTCTCTCTTATTCTCTCTCTCTCAAATAAATAAATAAAGTCTTTTAAAAAAAATAATAAATAAATGAAAGAATAAGAACCATATGATCCTTTCAAAAGATGCAGAAAAAGCAATTTGATGAAGTACAACATCCATTTATGATAAAAACCCTCAACAAAGTAGGTATAGAGGGAATATACCTCAACATCACAAAGGCCAGATACAAAAAACCCACAGCCAATACTGTCCTTAATGGGGAAAATCTGAGAACTTTTCCTCTACAATCAGGAACAAAACAGGGATGTCCACTCTCACCACTGTTAGTGAATATAGTACTGGAAGTCCTAGCCACAGCAGTCAGACAACAAAAAAATAAAAAGCATCCGAATCAGCAAGGAAGAAGTCAAACTTTACTATTTGCAGATGACCTGATACTCTGTGTAGAAAACCTGTAAGATTTTCTCTAAGATTGCTAAGACTCTACCAAAAAACTGCCAGAACTGATACAGGAATTCAGTAAAGTCGCATGATACAAAATCAATGTACAGAAATCTGCATTTCTGTATACCAGTAATGAAACAGCAGAAAGAGAAATCAAGGAATCAGTCCCATTTACAGTTGCACCAAAAACCATAAGATAGTTACAAATCAACCTAACGAAAGAGGTAAAAAGTCTGTATTCTGAAAACTATAAAATACTGATGAAAGAAATTGAAGATGACACAGAGAAATGGAAAAACATTCCATGCTTATGGATTGGAAGAACAATGTTAAAATGTCTATATTATGCAAAGCAATCTACATATTTAATGCAATCCCTATCAACATACTAACAGTATTTTTCATAGAGCTAGAACAAATAATCCTAAAATTTGTTTGGAACCACAAAGACCCCAAATAGCCAAAGCAGTCTTAAAAAAAGAAAAGCAAAGCTGGAGGCATCACAATTCTGGACTTCAAGTTTATTACAAAGTTGTAGTGATCAGTATGGTCCTGGCACAAAAACAGACACATAGCTCAGTGGAACAGAATAGAAAATCCAGAAATGAACCTACAACTATAGATCAGTTCATCTTGGAAAAAGCAGGAAAGCGTATCCAGTGAAAAGAAAGTTTCTTCAACAAATTATGTAAGGAAAGCGGGACAGCAGCATGAAAAAAGAATGAAACTGGACCACTTTCTTACACCATACACAACAATAAATTCAAAATGGATTAGAGATCTAAATGTGAGGCAGGAAACCATTAAAATCCTAGAGAAGAACACAGGCAGTAACCTCTTTGACATTGGCCAAGGCAACTTCTTACTAGATTGTCTCCTAAGGCAAGGGAAACAAAAGCAAAAATAAACTATTGGGACTTCATAAAAATAAAAAGCACAGTGAAGCACACAACCCACAAAACTAAAAGGCAACTTATGGAGTGAGAAGATATTTGCAAATGACATATCTGATAAAGTGTTAGTATCCAAAAAATATGAAGAACTTATAAAAACTAAACATCCAAAAAAATAACGCAGTTAAAAAATGGGCAGAACACGTGTCTTTTCCAAAGAAGACATACAGATGACCAACAGATATATGAAAAGATGCTCAATATCACTCATCATCAGGGAAATACTAATAACAACCACAATGAGATATCGCCTCATACTAGTCAGAATGGCTAAAATTAACAACACAGGAAACAACTGGTGTTGGCGAGGATGTAGAGAAAGGGGAGCCCTCTTACACTATTGGTAGGAATGCACACTGATGCAGCCACTCTGGAAAACAATATGGAGGTTCCTCAGAAAATTAAAAATAGCACCCTATAATCCAGTGATCACACTACTGGGTATTTACCCCCAAAATACAAAAATACTAATTTGAAGGGATACATGCACCCTGATGTTTATAGTAGCATTATCAACAATATCCAAATTACAGAAAGAGCCCAAATGTCCATTAACTGATGAATGGATAAAGAAGGTACGGTATACATATATAATGGAATATTATTCAGCCATAAAAAAGAATAAGATCTTGCCATTTGCAAGGATGTGGATGGAGCTAGAGAGTATTATGCTAAGTGAAATACATCAGAGAAAGACAAATATATGGTTTTACTCATGTGTGGAATTTAAGAAATAAAACAAATGAGCATAGGGGAAAAGAGAGAGGCACACCAAGAAATAGACTAGAGAGCAAACTGACAGTTACTAGAGGGGAGGTGGGCGGGGGGATGGGTAAAATAGGTGATGAGGATTAAGGAGTGCACTTGTGATGAGCACCGGGCATTATATGTAGGTGTTGAATCTGAACACCTGAAACTAATATACTGTATGTTAATTAACTGGAATTTTAAAACTTTAAAAACATAGGGATGCCTGGGTGGCTCAGTGGTTAAGCATCTGCCTTCGGCTCAGGTCATGGTCCCAGGGTCCTGGGATCGAGCCCTACATCGGGCTCCCTGCTCCGCAGAAAGCCTTCTTCTCCCTCTCCACTCCCCCTGCTTGTGTTTCTTCTCACTGTGTCTCTGTCAAATAAAATCTTTACAAAAAAATAATAAAAAAATAAAATAAAAACTTTTAAAAAAATAACAGTACCTATTTCATAGGATTGTCCCGAATCTTAAGCTAATATAAATAAAGCTTTTAATAGTGCCTGGTACATATTATTGGCTGAATAAGTGGTAGATGATTATATAATAGCCTTAATGTGGTTATCATTGTGTAATTGTATAATCTTTTTGTTTGTATATTTTTCTTCATTTTATCTCTACATAAAGGTTATTCAAGCTCATTGTAAAAATATCAGATAAAATTAAAAAATTTGAAAAAAAAGTCAAATCACCTGTAATTCTTCCACCCATATATAACCACTATTAATCTTTTCTTGACTTTCCTAAGTCTTTTCTATATGTTTATGCAAAATGACTTGTAGCAGTTAGCTTGTAATTATGTGGATGTATATAAAATTTGGGGGTACAAAAATGAGAGCACAATATTTTCCAGCCTTTTCTTTTCTCTTAACATTTTTTTTCCATGCCAGAGAATTGTTCAGAATGGCTGCATACTAAAATACTATTGGAAATAACTTTTTTGGCATTCATTTATTTAAGTAATTATAGACTTTTTTCACTGTTATAGTCACAATGTAATATATATCCTGTGTATATAGTGTTTTACATGATTGTTCAGTTATTTTTTTTAGGATAAATTTCCAGAAGTAGAATTGCTAAAGTTTGTACCAATTAATTCTATCATGAGCAATGTGAGAGTAGCTAGATGAGTCTCTTATAACTAAAGTACTCTTATTTGAGGTCAATTTGTTAAAATGTTTGTTACTTAATGGATTTTCCATTTTTTTTCTAGCTTCTTTGTGTTATAGCAATGATCTCTCTATTTTAGGCATATAATATTTTAGTTCATTATGAGTTAAAATGGCTTGGCAGTTAGCTTGGTAACTTAAATCATTACCTATTATTATTATTACTTGTTTTTATTTTATTTTTATTGTTTTTATATGGTAGTCTAGAATGCAAATAAATAGCGATAATTTTCTCTTCCTCTGATATTTGGCCATTTAACATCTGCATTAACAAGACAAGCTGGTTGCTAGTCTTTGTAAACCATTATATTTGCTTGAGTATAGTCCATTCAATATAGTGGGTTTTCCCTATTTTAATTTAGCTTTATTTTTTTGTAGAGTTAGTGCACTGAAAGGGTCTAAAGGAAAAGACTGTGAAATTCCTGTACCCGTGGGTATTTCAGTAACTGATGAAAATGGTAAAATTATAGGTAAGTGTATTGTAGATTCTTTTTTTTTTTAAGATTTTATTTATTTATTTGACAGAGACAATGAAAGAGGGAACACAAGCAGGAGGAGTGGGAGAGGGAGAAGCAGGCTTCCCGCAGAGCAGGGACCTGGATGTGGGGCTCGATCCCAGGACCCTGGGACCATCACCTGAGCCGAAGGCAGACACTTAATGACTGAGCCACCCAGGCGCCCCTGTATTGTAGATTCTAAGGTTGTGAAAAGTTTACATATTTTCTAAAATTGTTTGGGAGCTGTGGGGAATAGCTCCTCTTTAAATTTTTTAAAAACTATTTTAACTGCTAATTTATAAGAGATTTTGAAAACTTTATATAAAGTTGTTCAAGGGGAAAAAGAAGTTGTTTAAGGGGCACTTGGGTGGCTCAGTTGGTTGTGCGTCTGACTCTTGACTTCAGCTCAGGGTCCTGGGATCAAGCCCTGTGTGAGGCTCCTCACTCAGCGGGGAGTCTGCTTGAGATTCTCCCTCTCTCTCTGGCCCTCCCCCTCCCCCCAGTGTGCAGGTGCTCACTCAGGCGCTCTCTCTCTCTCAAATAATAAATAAATCTTTTTTAAAAACGTTCAAAATTAACTGCTAGATTTAAGATTATTGTAAAGATATAGTTCTTGAGATTTATAAATTGGAATTTTTTGGCATCTATTTCTGAACGAAAAATGTCGTTAATGATTAACCTCACTTAGTAATCTTTGTTCTAAGTATCTTTTTCTGTCTTTTTAAGGAGAGCTCAATAAAGAGAAAGACAGAATTTTGGTAGCTGAAGGAGGTCTTGGCGGTAAATTACTCACTAATTTCTTACCACTGAAAGGCCAGAAACGAGTCATTCACCTTGATCTAAAACTTATAGCTGATATAGGCCTAGTGGGGTAAGTATCATTTGTATTTTTATTTTTATAATTTCAGAGAGATAGTTCATGAGTAGGAGATAAATATAAATGGTAATTTGGGACCAGTGTTATTTATGGAATTTGTGTTTTTTGTATACTTTGAGGATGTTGCTAAATATAATTATTTTAATATTGCAAACATAGAGTTTCACAATTAATATTTATTTGTAAAAAGAAAGGAAGATCATAGCAATTGAGTAGGCTAGTGGGAATGGTAGGGAATGAATCAAGAAAGAAAAATCAATCAAATGCAGTAGTATAAGAAGGTGAAAGAAAGTTACCAGATACTAAGGAATAAAATTAAAATTCCAAACCACATTTTATGAAGTGTATAGGAGGAAATAAAAAGAGAAAAAATGATTTAGATATTCTTATAAGTCTTAATAGAGGTATCACTAAATTGTTGATCCGGTGGCTAATGGCTGATACAGACAGTCTCAACTATCAGACTTAGACACTATTGAGCACCAAGTTGGATCTCGATATGATGTTTTCCTGTCCTTCATGCTTTACTTAGGCTCTGTCCATTCTCAGTGCTGCAGACCCCCCAGTGTTGTCCTCTTTCACAGGCTTCCATTGTTTCCTCAGACAATGTTGTTTAGCTGTAGGGTTTGCAGTACTGGCAACTGACTGAGGGGGACAGTTAGCAAGATAGAAAGTAGGTAAAGCGGGGCGCCTGGGTGGCTCAGTTGGTTAAGCGACTGCCTTCGGCTCAGGTCATGATCCTGGAGTCCCGGGATCGAGTCCCGCATCAGGCTCTCTGCTCAGCAAGGAGTCTGCTTCTCCCTCTGACGCTCCTCCTTCTCATGCTCTCTGTCTCTCATTCTCTCTCTCAAATAAATAAATAAACTCTTTCAAAAAAAAAAAAAAAAGAAAGTAGGTAAAGGAAGGGAAGACTTCAACTTTGCATTTCTTCTCTCCCTCTCTGCCTGGCCCCCCTTCAGCATTACACAGTAGTCACATGAAACACCTAAGAAAAAGGTAGGGAACACTGCCTTATAGCTGGCTCTACTTCAAACTTCCAGTTCCATTCCTCGCCTTACATAGCTTCTAACTCTCTTTATCTACCATTCCAGCCACCTCACTGCTTCTTTACTAGAGTCATCAGTCTGAATCCCTCACCTCTTGCCATGCCTGTCTAGCTACTAGGTCTTAACATCAGTGGCTTAGAATTCATAAAGGCCCCATTCCTGCTGACGTAACAGGGAAAGATGTGATCCTGGGGCTCAAGCTTGTCATTTGCATTTAGTCTTTTCCATAAAACAGTATTATCAGGCATAGTTTCTGTAATAATGTATATTTTTCACAATGTGGGCTTAGTAGGATTTTGTGGACAAGACTGGGAATCTAGCCATTCACAGTCTCATTTGTTACAAAAATGTGTTTCAAGTTCCATAGAGACACCTCTGCAGACTAAGAAGAGCCTCACAAGGCTGAGTAGTAAACATCGGGTGAGGATGGGGGACTCAAGTGAGAGACTTTTTGGGTTAGAATCTCATATCCTCTGGAGACCACCTGGAAAATACTGGATACATTTTGGAACGTCTCTAAGCCTTTGTTTTCTCATTTTTAATAGTGGCTGGAGATGTTGTTGTGAGTAAGATAACACATTTACAGCACAACACATGCCTTGGATTTATGAATGCTTAATGAATGAGTGGTAGCTGCTGTCCTCATCATCATTACATTGCAACTTATTGGAGAGTACATATAATGAAATACTAAGCTTTTTAGAAGTGGATTTGATATTACAGTCAATAATTAAAGCATCACTTTTTTTTTAAAAGCATCAAGTTTTTTTGTTTTTTTTTTTAATTTTTTTTTTTAAGATTTTTTTTTATTTATTTATTTGAGACAGAGAGAATGACAGACAGAGAACATGAGAGGGAGGAGGGTCAGAGGGAGAAGCAGACTCCCTGCCGAGCAGGGAGCCCGATGCGGGACTCGATCCCGGGACTCCAGGATCATGACCTGAGCCGAAGGCAGTCGCTTAACCGACTGAGCCACCCAGGCGCCCAAAGCATCAAGTTTCTTAAGTACAATGCTTAACGTATGTATTTTAGTGCTTTTAAATTAGGCAACCGTTCTTAAAAAGTTACTACTGTGCATACCAGCATAAACAGATACCTGTTTGCTGGTTTCAGGAATGAACTGAAATTTAGAAGAAAGGTGGGAAGAAAGAAAGGTATTTGTACTGCTGTTGTCAGATCTGATCTTTGCATAGGTTGGATTTCAGCCTCTAAAATTTTTATTAAGTACTTTTCAGGAAAAATCTCAACTATCATTTCTTCAACCATTAACATCCTTTTTTTCCCTCATATTTTGATCTCTTTGGAAATAGTCGCTGGCATTTTTCTGCATTTAATACTGTTATGAAAATATGAGGATAATGGAAAGAAGTAAGCAAGTCTAGTTAGGGATAATCATGAATAAAAATTATTGCAATTTGCATTTCAAAAAGTTACAGGGGCCTGGGTATAATAAGATATAAGACAATACTGTATTTCCACAGGAAAATGAGTCATTAAAATATCTCACCTAATTTTACTTAAAATTCATTCTAGGAAGATATATTTAATGAGATATTTTAATTAGATTTATTTTGAATGTTAAAAGAGCTCTACTAAGAGGTTATAAATTTTTATAGAATTTCAGATTAATATTTCCAAAATATTATACCATTAGTCCAAGTGAAAGTTTGGCATGTTTTGTAAGAAGAGCTTTCTCCAGTTTGAATGAAAGCTGTGAAGGCAGGGATCACATTTCTCTCATTGATTGCAGTATTTCTGATGCCTAGTATATTGCCTGGTACAAGTTAATGATTAATAAATATTATTTGGATAAATTTAATGAAAGTATCTGAATGGAATTGAGGAAATCATCTTTTTTTTTTTTTTTTTAAGATTCTATTTATTTATTTGACACAGAGAGAGAGAGAGATCACAAGTGGGGGGTGGGGGCAGAGGGAGAGGGAGAAGCAGTCTCCTGGCCGAGCAGGGAGCCTGATGCGGGGCTCGATCCCAGGACCCCGGGATCATGACCTGAGCCAAAGGCAGACGCTCAACCGACTGAGCCACCCAGGCGCCCCGAGGAAATCATCTCTTAAGTGACTCTTATTCCTAGTACTTTCTTTCATATATGGTGGGCCTTTCCCAAGGCAAATTTAGCAATAAAATCAAAGCCTTTAAAACAATATACATTTTAATTATATTGTAATTCAGTATTTTCTTATCAAGAAATGTATCTTAAGGGGCGCCTGGGTGGCTCAGTCATTAAGCATCTGTCTTCGGCTCAGGTCATGATCCCAGGGTCCTGGGATCGAGCCCTACATCGGGCTCCCTGCTTTGCGGGGAGCCTGCTTCTCCCTCTCCCTCTGCCCCTGCTTGTGTTCCCTCTCTTGCTGTGTCTCTCTCTGTCAAATAAATAAAATCTATAAAAAAAAAAATGTATCTTAAAAAAGAGATTAAAAGTGTATGTAAAAGTTCAAGGATAAGGGTGTGTGGGGACTCAGTCGGTTTGGCTCAAGTCATGGCCTCAGGGTCCTGGGATTGAGCCCTGGATTGGGCTCCCTGCTCAGCAGGGAGTTTGCTTCTCCCTCTCCCTCTGCCCTCCCCCGCCCCCGCTCGTGTGCTCGTTCTCTCTCTCTCTCAAATAAGTAAAATCTTTAAAATGAAAGTTCAAGGATAATAGCTGTAGTGTTTAAAGTTTTAAAAGTTAGACAATAAATGCTAAAAGAAAATTTTCTGAAAGAAAAAAGTAGTTATCTATTAATTCCACCACTTCGGGGTGACTGTTAATGTTGGTATATGTCCTTCTAGCTGCATACAGTTTTTTTGCAATGTTCTTTATAATAGTAAAAAATTGGAGATAACCTAAATGCCTAACAATAGGAAATTAAGTAAGTTACAGTATGCCCTTGAAAGGCGTTCACCTTATATTACTCAGTTTAAAAAGCAGGCCAACCAACTATGAAGTAATCTTCCAGAAAAAAAAAATCAAAACTGAACCTTATCAAGGCTTTATCTCAAACTAACAATTTATAGAAAAACTGGGGCAAAGGAGCATGCTAAAGGACATCATGGGGGTGTCAGCAAAAAAAAATCCAGACTGTGGGAAAGAAACGCTATAGGACAAATGACCTAGTTTCCTTAAAAATAAAATTGCAGGGGCGCCTGGGTGGCTCAGTCAGTTAAGTGGCCAACTCTTGATTTCCACTATGGTTATGGTCTTTGGGTCCTGGGATCAAGCCCCATGTGGGGCTCCGCACTCAGCGGGGAGTCTGAGGATTCTCTCTCTCCCCGTGCCCCTTCCCCTGCTTGTGCTTGCAGTGCGCACATGTTCTCTTTCTCAAATAAATAAATCTTTTTTAAAATATAAATAAAATAAAATTGCAAAGAGGAAACAAAATGGGGGGAGACCTTTACCAAGTGAAATTTAAGGGATACATCAATCAGTTGTAATACATGGACCTTAGGCGAGTCCCTGTACAAACCAGCTTCAAAAAAAGTATTGAGAATGTGTTATTTGTTGAAGCTAGGTGATTGCTAAATGAGATTCAGTACTTCTCTCTACTTTTGTATGTATTTGGAAATGTCCATATAAAACATATTAAAGAAAAATCTACAAAGCAATATAAGCAATATTTTGTCATTGTTTGGCTAGAATTAGTGGATTGTTGGTATTTTTATTAGTTTCTTTTTGTTTTTCTATGATTTGCAGGCTTTTTAAAGATAATTGAATTATTTACTCCCAATACTAGAGCATCTCTAGTGCCCAGCATGAATATCTCTTTACTTTTTTCATATGTATATTTCATTCAAGTTTTTCAGGATTATTTTTAATTTATATTCTACTTTTATTCCTGGAAATATTCAAGAAATCTACTTCCTGAAATGTTAGAAATTCAGAGATAAGCAAGAATTATTAATAATACTAATATTTGTTTTAATATATTATTTTTTCATTTCAGATTCCCAAATGCTGGAAAATCCTCTTTGCTAGGTCAGGTTTCTCATGCAAAACCTGCAATTGCAGATTATGCATGTAAGTATCATTTGTTGTGTGTTTTAATGTGTGGTGGTAAATTTTTAAAGACTAATCTTTCTTTGAGTATGAATAAAGTGACAACTCTGAGGGCTTTAGTTGGAAAACTCTTGGCCGCTAGAATACATGCATTTCCCATTAATCCTTGAAATCTCTTTAGCTCTCAGCAAAGTTCCTAGTACTTTTTAGACACTTGCTTTTTTGCATTTATTTCTCCTTTGCATATTCATTTATTTGATTTAGTTGTGATTTTATGAGCACCTACCCTTTATCAAGCACTGTTCTTTCATTTAACAAGTATTTGTTTCTGTGAACTGCAGTGGGTTCTGGAGTTACAAAGACTGGTAAGCAGAAACAGATACTGTTCTGACTCTTACTGAGCTTACAGACTAGTAGGGAAAGGCACATATATCACACCTGACTGTGGGGGAATATATTATGATTCTATGAAAGAGTAGGTAGCTGCTTTAAATTTCTTTGGGAAAGTGTGATGCCAGGGCTGAGGTGTGAAGAATACATGTGTTAATCAGTGACAGACAGTGGATGTGAAAGGTGCTTCAGTCAGAGGAAATAGCATGGTACACAAAGGCTCTGTGGTGGCAGGGAGATCTGTGTGTCTAGAGAACATGTAGTAAGGGAAAGAGGGAATTGATGAGGTGGGAGATGTAAGTAGAGACCATATCATATAGACCAGGTAGGCTTTATTTGTTCTTTATGTCTAAAGAGCAGCTGATAGCCTTTTAATCGAAGGATAAAATGATTAGATTTGCTTTTCAAAAAGATCTCTCTGCATATAATATAGAAAATTGATTGGTGTGGGATATAAATGGGTCTGGAAAGAATAGTTAGGCTGTTACAGTAGCTAGATGAAATATGCTTAGACCAAGTAATGAATAAATGTGATAGAATCTCTGCCCTCATTAAACAAGATACAGAAGCATCCATTAACCTGGAAAATACAATTAAGCCATTCTAAAACTCTGATGAAACAGAGTTAATTTGGGGCTAATTGCTATAAATTACATGACCAATATTTATTGTTATAATACAGGGACTCTTGAGGAGGAAAGAGGAAGAAAAGTTCAGTCATAGGAATAGGAAGGTGGCTAGTGCAGAATTGATGAGGCTTGAGGATAAATGAATGAGAAGGAACTAAACAAATTTCACCCACAGACCCAGTGATAGAAACCTAAATTCTGTTCTACCCACCATCACCTTTATCACGCTCCTTAAAGTACAAGCAAAGAATCTTGAAGCCGACCAATTAGATTAGATCTATGCCTGTGCAGATTATAGTTGTATTTTCCATTCCAACAAATGAGAACATAATCTGAATTAAATTGTTTATAAAAAAGAAGAATTATTTATTTTATGTATAATGCTAAGACAGTTTTGAGAGTACCAGCCTTTATTCTAGCCTTAATTTGTTATTTTCTTTTAGTTACAACATTAAAGCCTCAACTTGGAAAGATTATGTATAACGATTTCAAACAGGTGAGTATTTTTAAAGTAAGACACTTGGTTAGAAGTGAAAGTACTTGCTTTTGGTACTTGGACTTTGTAATATTTGATTGTTTCTGTGGTGTTGGGGGGGGATAAAGTACCAAAATTTTGTTTTTGGTAAATGAGACCATGATCGAATCAATTCTGCTAAGCACGATCATAGTAAAATATTGTATAAAAATACAACTTTTTGTCCTTCCAAAGTTAGGTCCGGTTTATCATTACAGCATAGAATCTTCTTTATCTCTTTGATCTCTGTTTGTTCTCATTGCAAGTCCATATTTTACTGCCATATTTGATTATTGATTTTTGTTTCCTAAAAACATTTTCTGAAGTTCATGGAATTGATTTTATTCCAACTTTCTTTCCTAAAAAAAGTTTTTAATTGAATGGGATTCTGGTCTAGTTACTAAAATTTATTTTTTCTTGATAAGGAATAACTATAGATCTTTTGAATAATTAGAGTAAAAACAACAAAGGAAAGTAACAAAATTTTTTAAATGTGTAATGTATGATAAGCACTTATGCTCCTTGGTATTTACCCAAATGAATTAAAAACGTACATACCCAGGGGCGCCTGGGTGGCTCAGTTGGTTAAGCGACTGCCTTCGGCTCAGGTCATGATCCTGGAGTCCCGGGATCGAGTCCCGCATCGGGCTCCCTGCTCAGCGGGAAGCCTACTTCTCCCTCTGCTTGTGCTCTCTCTGACAAATAAGTAAATAAAATCTTTAAAAAAAAACAAAAAACAAAAAACGTACATACACACAAAAACCTGCACATGGATGTTTGTAGCAGCCTTGTTCATAAGTGCCAAAATTTGGAATCCACCAAGATGTCCTTCAGTAGGTGAATGGATAAATAAACTATGGTACTAATGGAATATTATCTAACACTAAAAAGAATTGAGCTGTGAAGGCATGAAAAGACATGGAAGAACCTCAAATATGTATTACTAACTGAAAGAAGCCAGTCTGGAAAGGCTACCTACAGTATGGTTCTAACTATGTGACATTCTGGGAAAAGGCAAAACGATCAGTGGTTGCCAAGGATTAAGGGGGAAAAAAGGATGAATAGAAGAGCACAGAGGATTTTTTAGGGCAGTGAAACCATTCTGTATGATACGATAATGGTGGGTACATGATGATGTACATTTGTCAAAGCCCATAGAATGGACAACACCTATATTATATATAACTATATAATAGTTATATAATAGTAAAAAATTTAAAAAAACTTCAGCAGTTATATAGAATAATAAGTAAAATTATAAATACAGGATAGTATGAATATGGAGAACAATATTTAGAGGAAAAGAGAACATTGTATATTTTAAGGGAAACTTAATTCTCAATAGCAAAATTCTCAGTGGAGAACCTGCAAACAAAATTTCAGGACATGATGAAAAAAAATATTTTCAGGACATGAGACCTCTGTTGTATTTTTCTGTGTGACTGCTTTGTCACATAGCCACAATTTCCTTTAAAATTCTGAAATCCTATCCACAGGGGCAGTGTATGAAGAGCAGTGCTTCTCACCCCTTACTGCACATCAGAATTAACTGGGTGGCTTCAGAACAACAATGATAAATGAAGCCTGGGGCCCGGAGATTTGAAACCAAATTCCTTGGGGTAGGGCCTGCGTATCTCTACTTTATAAAAGATCCTTGGGTGTTTATAATGTGCAGTGAGGTTTGAAAACCACAAATGTAGACTCATGGTTAATAACTTACAATTTCAAAAAGGAGTTATAAGAACCTTATATCCTTTACTTTCAAAAATGGTCAGTAGTCCTCCTGGTAGAACATAAACAGAAAAGGAATAATTATGCCACATAATCGATTACATATGGAATTTAAAACTTGAAACTACAGAGCTATACTAAGTCAACGTCTGTGGAATTAATATCCTTCTATACTTTTAAGAATTCATAAAGTTGAAATTCTATGACAGGTTCATATTGAACAATATAATTGATGGAATTCTAAAGAGAATTTATGTGATTAATAAATGTTCAACTAATCCCTAGAATTCTTAAACTGTTAGATTAGTAAGTAAAAATGGGACTCTAATTTCTGATAACAAAGCATTTTGATTTTTTTCTTTTTTAAGATTTTTATTTATTTATTTGACAGAGAAAGAGACAGCAAGAGAGGGAACACAAGCAGGGGGAGTGGGAGAGGGAGAAGCAGGCCTCCCGCTGAGCAGGGAGCCTGATGTGGGGCTCGATCCCAGGACCCTGAGATCATGACCTGAGCTGAAGGCAGACGCTTAACGACTGAGCCACCCAGGCGCCCCGATTTTGATTCTTAATACCTTGGCTTTATAAAGATGCAATGATAGGGGCGCCTGGGTGGCTCAGTCGTTAAGTGTCTGCCTTCGGCTCAGGCCATGGTCCCAGGGTCCTGGGATCGAGCCCCGCATTGGGCTCCCTGCTCCGCAGGAAGCCTGCTTCTCTCTCTCCCACTCCCCCTGCTTGTATTTCCTCTCTCGCTGTGTCTCTCTCTGTCAAATAAATAAATAAAATCTTTAAAAATAAATAAATAAATAAAGATGCAATGATAATCACAAATTAGTAACTGTATTTGAAATATGAAAATTTTAGGATGTAATTGTTTTCTTTTTTTCAAACCGTTTAACTTTGTATTAGATATCAGTAGCTGATCTTCCTGGTTTAATAGAAGGAGCACATACGAACAAAGGAATGGGCCACAAATTCCTCAAGCATATAGAAAGAACTAGACAACTACTGTTTGTTGTAAGTCATATGTGTACCAATGTAATGTTCAAATGAATGTGAGAATCAATGTGTTTAGTTTTCCTAGAAATTTTTTATAATAATAAGATTTAAAGATAAGGTAGTTATCATATGTTACTCTACTAAGTGTTTAAATGGGGGTCAAAATACAGTAAGTAATCTTCATTTATAATACAGAGTGGAAATGGCATTACTGTATCAGATGTAAATTTGGCCATACTTGTCAAGGTTTATTTACCTCCTTAAGATTGTCAACATACTGCTATGTTATATAGTATCTCTTTCCTACTTCACTAGTGGTGCTAGAGCTATATATGAGATTGTCTGTATTGTACATACAGATTGTTTTATCTATACTAGTTTCTCATTTCATTAATGATTGTAATTTTATCAGAATAATTATGGCTGTCTTGACACCACAGTTTCTCTTACTTATTTTGAATTACTGCATTACCAATAATGTATAGATTGAGAAATTATTTTTGGCTTGAGAAAGTAAAACATTTCAAAACATTGAAGTAATTATTGTTTTTATGTTAAAGACTGTCTCTTTCCATATTTTTTTTAGGTCGATATTTCTGGATTTCAGCTTTCTTCCCAAACTCAATACAGAACTGCCTTTGAAACCATAATACTGCTTACAAAAGTAGGTTTTCTGTTTTACTGTGTTCTGCATTTGGTGTAATATGTAGGCATATAGACCTGTATTAAATAACAGATAATTAGAATAAATACATATCCCACCTCTGCTTTTTGAAGCTTTGATGTCAAAGAATCATCTAAACTTGTTTTCTCCAGTTCTATATTAACCCACTCTTCAACCTATTACATCCAATGAAATCCTCCTCTATTCTAAATCCGTATTACATACTTCTCAGACTTTATCTTGCTTGAACTTTTATTCCTACTTTTTAGACTATTTCTCAATCTTTCTTTTTTTTAAGGTTTTATTTATTTGAGAGGGAGAGAGAGCACGAGTGGGGTGAGGGGCAGAGGGAGAAGCAGGCTCTCCGATAAGTAGGGAGCCCCATGTGGGGCTTGATCCCGGGAGTCCGGGATCATGACCTGAGCCAAAAGCAGATGTTTAACCAAGTGAGTCACTCAGATGCCTCTCAGTCTATTTTTTTTTTTTTTTAAGATTTTATTTATTTATTTGACAGAGACACAGCGAGAGAGGGAACACAAGCAGGGGGAGTGGGAGAGAAAGAAGCAGGCTTCCCGCTGAGCAGGGAGCCCGATATGGGCCTCGATCCGAGGACCCTGAGATCATGACCTGAGCCAAAAGCAGATGCTTAACAGCTGAGCCACCCAGGCACCCCCGCTCAGTCTATTTTTTTATGCTCTTTCCTGTTTATTCTTTAGGTAGCATTCAGTTACAGTTAATATGCTGATGACGGCCAAATCTGTTTCTGATACCTACATCTTTTTGGTCTGTCTTTAGACTGGCTGCCTAATAGATATTTTTCATTGGATGTCCCATTACATTCTCAAACTTAATATGTATACAACTGAACTTTACTAGTTTTGTAAACTAGGGTGTTTGGTTTCAATGCTGTCTTTCTCACCACCTGCATTAAGCCCTGTCAGTTCTATATCCTAAATCTCTCTGAAATTCATCCACATTGTTATAATCATCAGTCCCCCTCACTAGAATGCTTTAAATATTCCTGTGCCATCTCCTTGCTTCCAGTCTCACTTCTTTCCAGTCCATTTTTTTAATTGAAATTTAGTTGACACACGCAGTTACAGTATTTTCAGGAGTTTACAACATAGTGATTCAGCAACTCTATACATCATCATGCTATGCTCACCACAAGTGTAGCTACCATCTGTCACCACACAATGCTATTATAATATCATTCTCCAGTCCATTTTTTTTATATGGCCACTAGAGTGATCTTTGTGAAAGAACCAAGCTGATGCTTGTTCTCTACTTAGAACACTTCAATGGTCCCCCACTGTTGTTAGGTTAAAGTCTTACCCTGAACATGGTTTTTGAGGTCTGGCAAGGGTTGGCTCCTACCTAGCAGTTCATCTCTGCCCTTCCTGCCTTACTTTCTATTCTCAGCCACATGATTTCGCTCTAGCACAACATGATGTTGCTTATCTCCAGGACTTTGTATATCTTATATCCTTGTCACTTTTTATCTATTATGAATAATGCTCCTGTGAGCATTTGAATATGGGTTTTTGTATGGACATGTTTTCATTTCTCTTTGGCATATATACCTAGGAGTAGAATTGCTAGATAATATGGTCAGTCAATGTTTAACATTTTGAGGAACTGCCAGACTTTTACACAGTGGTTGCACCATTGTACCATTTTATAATTGCACTAGCAATGTATGTGAGGGTTCTAGTTTTTCCACAAGAATGCCAAAACTTGTTATTTTGTCCATGTTTTTTATTTTTAGTTATCCTAGTAGGGGAGGTGGTATTTCATTATGGTTTTGACCTGCATTTCTCTAGTGACTAATGATGTTGAGCATCCTTTCATGTGCTTATCAGCCATTTGTATGTCTTTGGAGAAATGTCTGTTCAGATTCTTTGCCCATTTTTTAAATTGGGTTACTTGTCTTTTTATTGTTGAGTTGTAAGAGTTCTGTATATTTTGGATACAAGTCCCTTATCAGGTACATGACTTGTAAATATTTCTCCTGTTTCACTTGTCTTCACTTTTTTTTTTTTTTTTTTTAAGATTTTATTTATTGGGGTGCCTGGGTGGCTTAGTCGTTAAACATCTGCCTTCAGCTCAGGTCATGATCCCAGAGTCCTGGGATCGAGTCCTGCATCGGGCTCCCTTCTCAGTGGGAAGCCTGCTTCTCCCTCTCGCACTCCCCCTGCTTGTGTTCCCTCTCTCGCTGTCTCTCTCTGTGTCAAATAAATAAATAAAACCTTTAAAAAAAAGAATTTTTAAATTTATTTCAGAGAGAGAAAATGAATGCATGAGCAGGGGGAGGAGCAGAGGGAGAGGGAGAAGCAGACTCCCCGCTGAGCAGGGAGACGGCAGCCTGACAGGGGGCTCCATCCCAGGAGCCTGAGATGATGACCTGAGCCAAAGGCAGACACTAAACCGACTGAGCCACCCAGGTGCCCTTGTCTTCACTTTCCTTATGGTACTTTTTGAAGCACAAAATTTTACAGTTTAATGAAGTTACGTTTGTCTGTTTTCTCTTTTTAAAGATTTTATTTATTTATTTGGGAGAGAGAATGAGAGAGAGAGCATGAGAGGGGGGAAGGTCAGAGGGAGAAGTAGACTCCCTGCCGAGCAGGGAGCCCGATGCGGGACTCGATCCGGGGACTCCAGGATCATGACCTGAGCCGAAGGCAGTCGCTTAACCAACTGAGCCACCCAGGCGCCCTTGTCTGTTTTTTCTTTTGCTTGTTCATTGGTATCATAGCTAAGAAACCATTGCCTAATCCATGGTCGTGAAGATTGATTCCTAAGCACACTTACTTTTTCCAAGAATAATATAAGTATAGCATTAGATTGTCATTATTTACTTCTGAATTTTATCAATGTGCTTAATAGAAGTCTAGATATTTGTATTTGGCCCTATGCACAGATCACAATGTCTCTAGGATGTCATTTGAGTTAAAATATATTAACATGTGACCTAACCAGTGAGCATTTTATGAATTTTCTTTGTCACTTAATTTTGTGGTTGTTGAGGTTTATTGCATTTCAGAAATGTGAGTGTGCTCTAGATTACCTAGGCCTACAAAGTAAAGAAAGATATTACTAAATAGATAATCTATATAGATTCTTTAATAAAATTATATGGTTTTTCTTTTTTGATTTGAAGGAATTGGAGTTGTACAAAGAGGAACTTCAGACAAAACCTGCACTCCTGGCAGTTAATAAAATGGACTTGCCAGATGCTCAGGATAAATTCCATGTACTGATGAATCAACTCCAGAATCCTAAAGGTAAACCCATTTGTTCATTTAATGCCAATTTAATGATTACCTATTGGGTGCAGAGAGTGCTAAGTGGTATAATCAATGGAAGAGAAAACTGACAGTTGCTACTCTTAAAAAACTTATGTTTGAAGAAAGAACACATTAGTATGAAACTTTCAATAACACTGTAACATAATACTTACCAAGTTTCAGAATCGTGATATAGACAGTAAGTTAGAAGAGACAAAAGGAAAAGTCAGGCTTCATGAAGAAGTAAAATTTAAACCGGGCCCTTAAGAGTTAATGGGATTTGGATCACAAAAGGAGAAAGTCAACATCTACCTGTAAATTCTTTTACTTTAACATACCTCACAAGTTCTAGACCTTCATTCCCCTAATACACCATAAATTTAAAACCAGAGCAAATAGTTCTAAAGAGGTATGTATCTTTGCAATGCCATCAAAGTACTGTGAAGAGTGCTAATCTTCTAAAAAGAACTTGAGTACCTACGTGTGTGTGACATAGAAAAATAGATGCTGTTATTGCAAAAGGATTTATTTGTTTGAAATTTGTTCCTAAATGGACCACTTTGTGTAAAGGAACTTAAAGGGACTCTCCACAGTTTTGAATATTGACCTTTGTAGAACACTTCCTATCCTACAGTAATGATGCTTTCATTTTTCTGAGTCTAGTAGAGGACCTCTTCACAAATGAGGAAAAGTCAGGTGGATGGAAGGTGGCCAGTATGTTTTTAAATAGTACTAACTTCTCTGTTTTTATCCTTCTGATAGAAAGGGGGGAAATAAATTATAGTGTAGTAGGACTAGTACACATCACCAGAAGATCCTTTCTCCCTCGAAAAAATCTTTCCCCTGCGTAATTTATGTATTGGAGCTATACTTGAGTTAATAAATTACTTTCAGGATATAAATACTTCTGGAACTACTGAGTACTCTTTATTCTTTAATGTCACTTGCTTTATGAGGTCATTGCTAGTTGGTGTTGCAGAAAAGGGAGTTTTCAGAGGAGGTATCAGAAGGGAGGGTAACTCTCTTGTTTGTGCCTGTCTTGGACTGTCATAAAACAAAATATAGTGCCCTCAGTGATAATTCCTGAGTTAGCTTCTTTGGACTTACTTGCGGACATATGAATCTCAGAACTGAAGCTCCGTGTTGACTTGTACAGTCTCTCTCAGTCCAGCCTTTCCAGTTCATATCCATGTTAACCCATCCCATCAGTGTGCCATCTCCCTTCCCATTGTCTTGAGGGCAGGGAAGAGGAAAAATTAATATAATAGCTGTCAGCCCCTGTGGGGTGATAGATTGGACTCATCTGAAATAATCTCCCCTTGAACTGTCGCCAAACCTTTTCAATTTTAGTATGGCTCCTAACACCAGTGATAAGCCTGTAGTTTAGGGCAGCTAAAGGGCAGCATGTACACCTGTGTACTGGGGAAAGCTCCTATATCCCAGTCATGAATGATGAAAATCTGTGTTGCCTGATTTCATTGAACTCCTCCAAAAAAAGCAAATTTATTGCTTCTGTAAGTAAATCATATATGATTATCTTTTATTCATACTTAATTTGGTTTAAAATACATTCATCCAACAAATATTTGCTAAGCACCTATCATGTGCTAAGAATCTTACCATTGTCATTTGTAAAAACAAAAGTTTCTGAGAGCTTATTAATGAGGGAAGGAAAAAAGGATTAAAAATAAGTTTTTGGTACCTTGATTCATAAACCAGACCTCTAACATAGTTTTAATTTCAAAGACAATGAAAATCAGCTTAGTTTTGTGTTCCTTGTTTCAGATTTTCTGCATTTATTTGAAAAAAACATGATTCCAGAGAGGACCATGGAGTTCCAACATATCATCCCCATCTCTGCAATTACAGGAGAAGGAATTGATGAATTAAAGAACCATATAAGAAGATCTCTGGATGAACATGCCAATCAGGAAGATGATGCATATCATAAGAAACAGTTGCTTAATTTGCAGATTTCCAATACAATATTTTATAGTGAGCCACCACCAAAGAATTCTGTTACTAGCCCCAAATAGATGTAATTTAAACCTATTAAAAATGATACCGAAATTATATTCATTTGAAAGTTTTTCCACGGACATGTATTTTTTAGAAGGTTAGTTATTATTAACTTTCTGCTATAAATGCCATCATTCAAGAACCATACCTTCTTGTTTTATAGTTAAGTGTATAGATAGTAAAAAACTGAGACCTAAAAATGACAATTTAAAATTTTATGGCCAATCCACCTATAATAAAATCCTCTGATATGCCTGTATTTATGATGTCTCTAGTGAGATCATTTATATATATATATAATTACATTATATAAATATAAATATATTTATATTTAATAAATATAAAATATAATAAAATATAAAACAATAAAATAAAAATACATTTATATTTATAAATATACATTTATATATATATAAATATACAGAAGAGCATTCTCTAGAATATTATTAAAATGAGCAACCAGGTTTTGTTTGTTTGTTTTTGAATCTGTCATGTATCTGATTCTACTAAATATATAATAGTTACCTTTTTTGGAAAACCTCAAAACCCTAAATTTCAACATATGTTCAGTGATGATAAAGATCACTGGTAATATTTAACAAAAACCAGCAGGTAGATGTTTATAATTTCACCTTTTGGAAATTTTTCTTTCTTAAGTAAAAGTATTTTTTCCTGCTTTGGAGCAGACTGATATATGTCTCATTTTCTTGCACTCAAATCTGTCTTGTCTATTTTCATATTTTAGTAAAGAGAAGTAATAGGAAGTACAAAGTTGAAACAATATTATCAATCATCAATATATTAAGATTAAAATTTGTAAATTTCTGAGTTTCAAAAATATAATCGGACATTTTCTCTTCATAAGTTTTATTATAAAATATACATGTTCATTGTAGGAAATAAAATTTAAACCACACAAAATCTTATAAAGGAAAAAAAAGTTCCCATCTTCCTACATTGGGCCCTCTGATCCTTCCCAAAGAAAATCACTGTTAATAGTTTCTTATATTCCTACAGAATTTTTTTATTCATTTATCTTTTTACTCAAATGAGTTCATCATGTAAACCTTTTCTAAGTTGGGTTTTTTTGTTTTGTTTTTGTTTTTTTTTATATAGTAGCAAGTTAATGAGCTTTTAAAAATTATACTTCAAAGCTGCTTTTAAATTATTAGAAATTATTTTGGAATTTAAGGCTCAGTGAAGCCTTTACATAATGGTAATAAGTATTACATAAAAATGATGTAAGTATTGTTCTACTTAAATTTCTTCTGATGTGACACTGAGTTTTTACGAGCATTATTTCACTTTTATTTGTTCTGTTTTCTGTTCTCCACTCCCACGTCCCATTCGAGGCCCCAGATTGGTGGCTTTTTTGGTATTTCCTCCATTGCACAGGTATTTATTGAGTGTCTCCCATGTGTCAGGCACTGTGCAAGGCACAGCATGTACAATGTTAAAGACAGGACTGCTGCCCTTATGGATCTCACATTCACAAGCAGAAACTGCAGGGGATTAGAATAGCCTGGTTCTGCTTTACAACAAAGAAATAAGAGTGAGAAGAGCATTTGGAATTTAAACATCAGTACTGATCATTCTGACCATGTTTCATTTTGGGTATGTTTTACACTTACAACTTTAGTATCCTTTTTCTCTTTTAATATTTCCTAAATATAGGGGCGCCTGGGTGGCTCAGTTGGTTAGGCGACTGCCTTCGGCTCAGGTCATGATCCCGGGGTCCTGGGATCGAGTCCCGCGTCGGGCTCCCTGCTCGGCGGGGAGCTTGCTTCTCCCTCTCCCACTCCCCCTGCTTGTGTTCCCTCTCTCGCTGTCTCTCTCTCTGTCAAATAAATAAATAAAATCTTTAAAAATATATATATATTTCCTAAATATAAAGAAAGAGCAATGTGAGGTCAGTTTCATCAGGTGAATTTCTGAAGTTCTGACACCATAATCTTATTTTCTGCTGTGGCAAAGGATAGTAGATATGTGCTGAGAATTAAGAGGAATTAGATCTTACTTGCTCTGTCAGTAATGGTCAGGTTACTACTCTACAACTAACTGAAGCATTGTGTTATGTAACTCACTAAAATGTTCCATGATTTGTATTTTCTAGTTACTGAAAGTTGATAGTTTTTATTCTAAACAGAAGGAAAAAATCTGGATCCCTTTTTATTTTACAAACAAATACATTTTAAAAACTTAAAGATTTATTTTGAAATATACTAACATCTCAGATGCCATTTATTCTGTCCTTAAGCAAGATTTTTTTCATTTTCATCTTTCAAAATATATATACTTTTTGGAAGAAATTTTTATATTACTGAATAGCCAGGGTATCAATGTGCTATGTATAATAAATTTTTACCAAGTCCCAGTAGTTCTTGAAGAGCTTGCTGTGTCAAATTCATTTACCATGATGAATTATAAGTTTATACCACCAGACACTGTCAAGTATTAAGTTATCATACTGTGAAGTTGGATTTGTGCTTCGAAGATTTCACCTATGAATAAAAATGTTCCAGAAATATATTGTTATTTTTGCAATATATATCCATATTATTCTTAGCAAAGTGAACTTTATGGAAAATTAATGTTATTTTAGATTTTATTTATTTATTTTAGAGAGAGAGCGAGCATGAGTGGGGCAAGGGGCAGAAGGAGATGAATAAAGGACAAGCAGACACTGCAGTGAGTGTGGAGCCCTATCCGGGACTTGATCTCACAACCCTGAGATTATGACCTGATCTGGAATGAAGAGTCTGAGCCGCTTAACCCGACTGAGCTACCCCGGGACCTCTAATGTTTTCTTTTAAGTGGTAAACATGTATTATCTAATGAAGGGGGGGGGGGAGTCTTCATAATGGGAAAAATCGGGCCAAGGGTATTTTATTTCAGGTTTTATCTAGTTAGTTTTCTTGTAAAGTTATATGTCATTGGGAGGATGGAGTACAGAGATTCCTCTGAGAAAGTTAATGAAAGCTAAAGATTTTTTTTCTTGCCAACATGTACATAAACACATGGACTATTTTCTAAGTAGTTTCATAGGGTTTGCAAAGTTCAGATAAAAAAAATCAGTTAAAGGTAAGCTCCCTGTAGAAATTTGTAATATCATTAAGTTACATTAAAAATGTTTCCGGCGCCTGACTGGCTCAGTCAGTAGAGCTTGGGACTCTTGATCTCAGGGTCGTGAGTCAAAGCCCCACATTAGATGCAGAGCTTACTTTAAATAAATAGATAGATAGATGGATAGATAATAAGTGACAGCTATTTAAATAAAAGCATACATAATAATTTTTTTTAAATGTTTCAAAGCAGCACCATAAGTTAGCTCACAAACTATAGCTTAAAAATGAAATGAAAATTAGCAGTAGTTTAGGGGAGGGTATGTGCTATGGTGAGCCCTGTGAATTGTGCAAGACTGTTGAATCAGATCTGTACCTCTGAAACAAATAATACATAATATGTTAAAAAAAAAAAAAAAAGAAGCTAGCAGGAGGGGAAGAATGAGGGGGGGAATCGGAGGGGGAGACAAACCATGAGAGACAATGGACTCTGAAAAACAAACAGGGTTCTAGAGGGGAGGGAGGTGGGAGGATGGATTAGCCTGGTGATGGGTATTAAAGAGGGCACGTTCTGCATGGAGCACTGGATGTTATATGCAAATAATAAATCATGGAACACTACATCAAAAACAAATGATGTATGGTGATTAACAATAAAAAAAGAAAATTAGCAGTAGTTTAAATTGTAAAACTTATACAGAAGACATCTTATTTCAAAAACATGGTAACATTTTGTTTGAAGACCAAGTGGTGAATTTAATGTATATTTTTAAACCTTTGAGTATCTCAAATTTAGTTTAAATCTGTCTCTCCTAATGGAATAGACAAGTGAAGCAAATCGAGAAACAGTACATTGTCTGTGCTGGTAATAATATCTAACACAGTAATGTTTCCATATGCTGGGCAGTGTACTGAGTTGTTCACAAATATCTCTTTTAAACACTACACTATATTGCTTTTTGGTCATTTACTAAGTTGGGTGGTGGGTACATGAATGTTTTGGGGTTTTTTGGTTTTTTTATTTGAGAGAGAACGAGAACGAGCAGAGAGGGAAGGGGCAGAGGGAGAGGGAGAAGCAGGCTTGCCGCTGAGCAGGGAGCCCAATGCAAGGCTGGATCCCAGGACCCCGGGATCATGACCTGAGCCAAAGGCAGACACTTAACAGACTGAGCCACCCAGACACCCCTGTTTTGGGGGTTTTTAACCTTTTGGGGAGTCTACTGTATTTTATAATTTAAAAAATGTCTTTGCCTTATAAGAGTTTATACCTTGGGAATAAGCCATTTAGATAAATATAGTTAACAAATGTTGGCAGACAACATGCTGTAATATTTACTGCAAAGCTAAATAATAATGAAAAATTTATTTTTTTTCTTAAATAGCTATGTCAGAGAAGCATTGTGTTTGTTTTGTTTTGTGATTGGAGCTTGGCAAGTAGAGGGAAAGTATCAGAGGAATCTCTTCAGCTGTAAGTGGGTGTCACAAGCCAGCTGAAGGAAAAGCAAAATCAAGCAGGTAATAGAAAGGAGAGAGAAAAGAAAGAAAAGCATGTATGTTGGAAAGTTGTAGTATTTCCCTGTGGATAATTCAGGAGTGATGTGGGTTATTGCCTCAGTTGTCTGTCAGACGGATGAAAAAGCCAGGCGCAATTTCAACTACCATTTCTGACCATAACCAATCATTAATTTTAGGCAGTTCAAATTTTTGTACTTTTACGGTTTCTCATTATATGACTGTTGCTTAATTAATAGTTGTGGAAGACTTCAGAGAAGCAGTCACCTTTGTTTATATTATAAATGTGTTTGTAAGAAATTAAATTTGTTGGGTTGCCCCAGATACTAAGCTATGTGAAGCACAGCTATTATTTGAATCCAGTCCTCTGAAATACTTAGAATTTGAAGAACAGCATATGCAGTTTATATTATAATTAATTTTGGAGCAATATATGGCAAAGTTGGTTTTTTTTTCTATTTATTTTGTAAACTTTAAGTGATTGAAAGTTGAAAGCGAAGAACAAAGCTTCCTTTGTTCATGGCACATATTTCAATATATTTTTCTGAAACTGCCAATATCTTCTGACCAGTGCCTTCATTTTCTTGTTATCAAACATTATTACCGGTATTATTCCAATATGAAAGGCTTTAAGAAGACCATGGTGTAATTTTCTTAAGAAAAAGGGTATGATTATAAATCTAAA